TTGTCGCCCTTCGCGTCTCGCTATACTAGAGTTGCTCTTCGCTGCTCCCGCGGGGCGAGCACAATACCCCTCACAAAGCTCTTTTCCGGACCACCGCACAAGCTTCTTTGCGGGCTTCGACGAAGACCATCACCAAGCCGTCTAGGAGGTGGCAACCTCCAAGAGTAACAAGCACCACCGGCTTGCAAGACGACCACCTAGTGCCACTCGATGCAACCTCATGATGCAATCGCACTAGAATCGCTCACTCATTCGATCGGATGAACACTATCAATCTCAAGTGAGTTAGAGGGCTCCCAAGCACTATCACATAAGCCACCAAGGCTCTAGTGCGCTCAGTTCTTCTCCCCTATCGGCCAATGGCCGATCAACACTTCTATTTATAGCCCCATGGGCTAAAATAGCCGTTACCCCTTCACTGGGCGTTTTTTGGGACGACCGGACGCGCAGGTCACACTGACCGGACGCACCCGGCCAGCGTCCGGTCTCGCTACGCCGTCCACGTGTCGCTCTACGTTCAACCAGAGCCACCCGGTCTCACGTGCCAACTTTAGTGCCGCCTACTTTAGTCCCACGCGCCAACTTTAGTGCCGCCTACTTTAGTCCCACGCGCCAACTTTAGTGCCGCCTACTTTAGCCCCACGCGCCAACTTTAGTGCCGCCTACGTCACCGAACATCACCCTGACCGGACGCGGCCATTGTGCGTCCGGTTACTTCTTCGCCCAGCGTCCGGTCACTTGACTGAGACCACGCGCTATCTACTGCCACTGACCGAACGCGCCGGTCCTGCCGAGGCCAGCGTCTGGTCACTCACAGTGACACCTTCTCGCCTTCGTTTCTTCACCGAGTTGATCCTCATCAACTCCAACTTCTTCTCCTTTATAAATGTGCTAACACCAACAAGTAACACCACCATATGTATGTGTGTTAGCTTTTCATAAATATTTTTAAGGAGTTACTTGACACGTCACTCGATCCTAGCAACGATGCAAAGTTAGATCACTTGAGTGGCACTAGACGACCGATATGCAAACAAGTTTGCTCGTCTTGATAGTATGGCCATCTATCCTAAACCCGGTCATAAACTTCTCTACACACCTATGACCGGTGAAATGAAATGCCCTAGGTTATACCTTTGCCTTGCGCATTCCATTTCATCTCCTCCAATGCCGATGCAACACATACACCAACATAATCAATAATGATATGATCCACTTTATATCATCACGTGATCATATTGGTTCATCGATCTTGACTTCACTTGCTTTTCACCGTTGCCTTCGTCCATCGGCGCCAAGTCTTGCTCAAGCTTCACTCGTGTGCCCTCCGACGTGGTCTTGGTCATAACCTCGCGCCTCCACCTTTCTAATTCACCCAGCTCAAGGCTTTTTAGCCCGTCTCCTCATGCCAGTAGGTAGCATAGGAAGCCAGCTAGTCGCCCTGTTCATACCTAGTCCCAGCAGATGTCCTTCACCACGTCGATTTGAGGTTCTGCTCGCCGCAGGCCATGGTCGCCGCCGTGACCTGGAATTGGGGAGAGAGGTAGGATTGGAGCGATAGTAGTTCGATTGCTTGAGGCCATAAACTCGCCTTGACCCCCTCCGCTTGGTGCTCGTGTTGTTTTGTCCAGGGAGTCTGCCATCGGAGCGGTGGCGCACCGGTGTCATGCTCGGCACGCCACTGTGAGGTGTGGGCGCACATGGCCGGGTCGCCTCATCGCTCCTCTGCCTCAACCCCCCACCGCAACGTGAACCCTGATGAGCTACGGGTGCTCATCCATCACCGCCACCACCTCGGTAGAGCCTTAGGTCGCCGGAACGAGCACACCGCGGCACGGCTCTACCTGTCGCTAGGGCTAGCCCTCGGTAGTGCGCCATTAAGCTCCCCATCGCTACCTAGGAGTGCGCTCTTAGCGGTAGGCAAAGGTCGGCTCCTTACCCACCTGGTAGGGAGCTTGGGGTGCCCAGCGCAGCTGCCCATGCCGCTGGTCACCATGCCGGCGAACGCAGGGTAGAGTAGGGACCTCCCCATTGTGAAGGCGGAAACATCCGGGGTCCTTAGTGCAAAGCTTGTCTCTGGTGTAATAGTGCTTAGTGACGCCGTGGGATAATCTGTTACGCTGAGGGTTTTTCCACAAAAGGTGCGGGGGCACGCGCGGGCTCCCCGTCGCGGGCCGCTTGTTGGGCCGGCCTGCTACATGCGCGGGCTCCCCGTCACCGGCTGTTTAGGTTGCTGGGCCAAAATCATTGGCCACCAGTTTTTCCTTTTTCTAAAGCGTTTTCCAAATTAGTTTCTAAGGTGAAATTGTAAATTCAAGATAAATTTGTGTAGATGTCTAAAAATTGTTAAACTAATTTTGTTAAGCTTCTAAAATCATGATCTATCTGTTAGTGTATTTTGTTCACATAGCTTTATAGAATTTTTAAGAATAATTTAGTTGATTTGAAGCACTGAGTAATGTTAAAACATAAACTTGTAGGAATTATTGTGATGAATTGATAGTAGCATTGGCTCTGAAATTTTTATAGTAGATTCCTAACATTATTAAGTGCTCATTGAAAAATTTTGTAGCTTCTAAATAATTAGTTTGCTGAGATAACTAATGAGCCTTAGTTTATACATATAGCAAATAAAAGAAAATAAAGAAACACCTAGAGATTTTATAGCTAAAACATCGTGGGAAATTAGCGCTTTGTTCAACAACGTGGATACATGGCCTAGTACGTTAGTCATTAAGACCGACTCGTTAGTTAATAGTGTAATTACATTTTAGAGTTGCGATTATCGTGATTATTTATATTTCCGCGTCGTGTCCACGAATATCAAAATAGGCACAACGACGGACCATAAGTCATCTGGGGAAAACAGAAGCAGTGGATACATGGATGGCCATGTCACCACGATGGAATGCTAATCTTTTGGTTATATCTTACTCAGGTAAGCCCCGGTGCATAACCCCTATTATTCCGTACTTTAATTTATGCTTGTGCATTAAGTTTAAGAAGTTGAATAAAACCCACCTACATATATATATCCTTATCCTATGAGTTTTACTAGTATGACAGGATCGTATAGATTGCTATGCTTTAGGACTCCGGTACAAGTAAGGTGATTTACTGTCACTCGTGAGAGATAGAAAAGATATTATTATGGTTATTATATTATTATCACCTAGAATATATATATGAAAGAAAATAGAGACCAGTTAGGGATATGGTATGGGTATTGGTGGGTGTAAGAGGTTGTGTCCCGCGGCCAACGGGGCATAGCTTGGTTACACTGTTTTCCCTGTCCGTGTCGGTTAAGGACCGACCGTTGCATTGGGTTCTAGTCAAGTCACAGACTTATTATCCTGAGCACATACTTGTTTATGAGAGCAAGGAAGGCTCGTTGCTCTCTTGTCGTGGGTTCCGGCTCTTTTCGGACCGACTGATTGGAGACGGGGATGGTGGAGGTCTAAGCACCACACTGAGTCAGGACTCAGGTGTGGAGGTTTGGAGTCCAAGTTTGGACAGGGACCTGGACCCCTTGACAAGAGAGTGGTGGGTTGGTCCTGCTTGTGCTTGAGGTATAAGCGGGACGTGTGTTTCGGGGTACCTAGCTGGGCACATTAATTCGTGAATCACCGGGTAATCCGGTACGACTTGTCTACGATCTAGCACCGTAGTAAGAACTGAAATATAAAAGATGGTAAGATGGTTCTGATTGCTTACCACATGCTTGAAAGTAGCATAGGTGCTTACATAGAATGGTTAGTTAATGAACTAATGATGACTGCTAATAAAATTTGATATAAGGACGCACGTGTTAGTAATGCTTTCTACAGATGTAATAAAACCACAAGCCAGATAGCCTTGCATATCCTTGAAGTCTTTTCTTTCCTCCTGACGGGTAAGTCTTACAGAGTACAATTGAGTACTCAGGGTTTGTTCTACCCTATTGCAGATGACAGGAACATTTGGAGCTGACACTTGTGTGTGAAAACCTCTTGGTGGGCTCAGCGAGAATTTCCTTAACGTTGCGGACATAGAGTTTATTTGAAACTTTCACCCAAAATATTTTACAATGGAAAACTTATAACGTATTATGATGTATATAAAGGATCATCATGTTAATGGTTAACTTGTCATTCAATGATTTTATTTTCGTTGAAACTCTGATAACATGGTTATATTCTGCTATTATAAATAATAAATATTATACTCTGATGTTGCATGTAAGGTGATGTAAGAATTGACTTAAGAATGTTGTAAGCTTTATTCTTTCATTTGTGATCCTGATGGAAAAATGTGGATTTTCTGGTTCTCCCTTAGGATGTGCTCGACAGAACTGCCTGATGTAGCTCACCTTCAGGGTGCTTAGTGTCCAGTGAAAGACAAACGTCTCCATAAATGAGTTATTTCGGACGGTTCTGCCATAGGACGAGGGAGTCGGACGTGGGGCGCAGACGCCGTGTGGGGTCGGACGGTACGCGGGAGTGCAGGTACAGAACGGTGTGTAGGCACTAGCACTATCGTATTTCAACTGATTATGGTGCCTGCTACTCACTCCCTTCCAAAATAAGTTAGTATTCTAGGAGTTTGGAACAAAAACCAAGACAAAGGATAAAATGATGAAACTGCCCCTATGAAACATTGGGCAGGCCTCCATCAGTTACCTTTTGTTTAACTCAATTTTTATTTCTTTGTTCCTCGTCCCACGCTGCTCCACAAGCCTGTCTAGTGTATTGTTCTCTGCAACTGCTTTGGACCTCGTGCCATTTGTTCATTCATTTGAGGGTAAAATTTGAATCACAAATTTGCAATTATTTTAGAACGGATGGAGTATTTACTACTAGCACAAGATAAACCATGTTATTATTTTACTACTACTACTACTAGGTAGAAACATAGCAGGCTTATAACATTTAACACCACAACTTTATTATTACATTTCAGATGTTTCAAGTGCCTGATGCTATATATATGCAGCAGTGCATCTATCTGTTGGCTCCAGATATTCAACAACTCCCAAGCAGCTTCTTGATGTCCTTCTGCAGATAATGCAAATAAAAGGTAGTGTTGTAAGATTAGACGATCGAGGAAGTTCCACGAGCATATATAGCACAAGATCGATGCACCATTCTGAACTCTCACCTGGATGCTGAGTGGGTAAGTGGTTGGAGCATACCGCTCAGTGACATGCCCCTGTTTGTCAACCAAGAACTTGGCGAAGTTCCACTTGATGTTCTCACCGAATGGGCCGGTTTTGCTGGATTTCAGAAACTTGTAGATGGGCGCAGCATCTTCGCCGTTGACGTCAACCTTACGGCCGGGAAAAACAATGGATAGGCATTAAAACTTTGCAACCTTATATTACATGATCAGGTCGCTGTTTATTTCAGCTTGGACATGCAAAAGAGTAGAAATTAAAGAAGTTTTGTGCGCACAAATTTACCTTGTAAAAAATTGGAAACTTAGCCGTGAAGCGAGTGCAAACAAACTGGACGATCTCCTCACTCGTGCCAGGCTCTTGCCCACCGAACTGGTTGCATGGGAACGCAAGGATCTCCAAACCTGAAGAAGGTCACACCAAATTAGCAGCAATATTAATTTATAGCATATTATGAATCATAACTGAACCAATCTACATGAGGAACTGGGCATAAGAGAGAGAGAGAATCAGTCGCCCTATTCGCTTATTGGTTTCAGCCAGGCTTATTCAACCAGCCAATAGTGTTTTTCTCTCAAAAAACCAGCACCAGCTAGCTCAAACCAGCACCAGCACCAACCAGCGAACAGGGTAAGTATCTCAAAGGCGACTCACCCTGGTCCTTGTACATCTCGTATAGCTGGGTAAGCTCCGTGTAGTTAGAATTGGTCAGGCCACTGTAATAATGATTACAGACAAGTAATCTTTTAGTTCAAACCAAAAAAGCTAATAAACATTCATAGCACTTCCGCATCTGAGGATGGTAATGGGCCACAGCCCACGGGCCTCATAATCTGATTCTACTTTTCCAAAACTGTAAGCCCACGGGTCAAAATTGTCAGCCCGTTGTCAGGTCTAAGATACAAGTACAATATACAGCAAACAAAATAGAAAAGAAACGAAACCAGTGATATGGTACTTCAAAAATATGTACAAACGTTTATCAAAAAAAGATGTACATAAGCCCCAATTGGCAGGGACCGATATTTTACCTGTCCAATTCTGAACAATTTGTCTGCTTATATAGCATACTAATATCTCGTTCAGTGCGTATATTCCCTACGGACACGCGAAAACCTCAATCCAAAAGAACATAAACTACAAGGGCACGTGGCATCTTGGGGTGTTTAGCACATGAATATGTGAGACTAGTGTATACGAAGCTCAACTTCCTATACTTGAATGAGCTAATTAAAAAAGCAAGAGAATATGACCATTTGTGTCTAGCTTAATTAATTCTGCTAAGAGACATAAATAAAGCTCGAAAGGCGTCCTACATTTCAATCGCTCAAATATTATATATGCTGACAGAGGGAACAATAATATATGATCGTTATGTATTACCACTGTGATGCAACGTTGACGATGAGGAGAACCTTGCCCTTGTAGGTGCTCAGGTCCACATCTTTGCCGCTTGCATCCTACACGCAATGCGATTATGCACTTGTGAATCACGTGTGTAACAACCCGGGTTTCCGGAGAAGCCAAAAATACGAACTTTTTAAAAAAATTTCTGCAATGTGTGAAGCATGTAGATGCTTGGTCAAACAAAGAATAATTTATAAACAAATTGTTGCATACATATAGCGTTGCTTGTAGGAGCTTACCAGAGTCCCTTATTTGGTTTAGGGTTTTGTGTTGGAGAGCATAAGTCCGTAGCGAATCCTTTTAACTCCTTCTGAAATCTCCCATGAACCCCTTGACCTAAATTCTATAATCAACCAACTATCTTTATCAACTCAATACCCGTGAATTGCCAACCCTTGACATGGACCCCATTACCCCTAGTTGACCTCTAATGGACCCCACTAGGAGGTGTACAAGTTGGCGACATATGTATTCAATATAGGAGCCTTGGTTTATTTAGAAAATAGGAAAGCCAGTCTGGCCCAAGCACATGACCAGCCAGCCCAAGATGCGCGACTGGCCTGTAACAACCCAAAAATCCATACACCAAAAATCACAACTACAAATTTTTTTCTCAAGAATCCCATGTGATGATGAGTGTCATGTATAGAAACCCAATCTAAGAGATGCATTAAGTCTAACCCAACCCCAGTCAACATATAAGCATGGCATGTCATTAGACAACTGTGTTTATTAATTTCTAACAAATATAATGTTGCGTACATTGTTAATTCAAAATGTGATTTGGATTTCCATTTGAGTTATGATTTGCTAAACGACTCCAATAAAATAATAAACCATAAAGTTATTATTAAACAAAATTCTCTAAACTCCAATGAATAAGTTACCTCAGATTTGAATTCAAATTCTAAATCAAATTTGAATCCAAACAATGGAAAAGAAATGTAAAACAGAAAAAGGAAAAGAAAAAGTGGGCCTCGCAGCCAGCCGCTCGGCCCAAGCTAGCCAGCCCAGCCAGCCCCATCGCGGCCGCGTCCCAGCGCGCGCGCAGTAGCAGCCGGCCGGCCCAACTCGCGTGCAACAGCCCAGCTCGCGGCCCAGCGCGTTGCTCACCCGCGCGCCCTTCTTCTTCGCCCGCAGCCGCTGCCCGCTGGACCCCGTGTGTCAGCCGCACACCCGTCTACAATGTCGTCTTCCTCACCCACGCCTCAACCGCCTACGCGCCCGGCGCCCGACAGTGGTGGCAGGGCGGGCCAGGGGTCACGCCCGGGGCATGGCCCTGTCTCCTTGGCGCCGCACCCACGCAACCCTTGCGCCGCGCCTACGCCACCGCACGCGAGCCATTGGATGCCACTGATCACGCCTCCACCGCTCGATCGCCGTCCGCCATTGGAGCTCGGAGCTCGGCTATAAAGCCACGGCCCTCGGTTGCCCTAGCGCTCTCCTGTGCCCCGCCGCCACCTTGTGGCTGTCCACAGCACATCCTAGCCAAGAGAGAAGAGGGAGGAGAGGAAGAAGGGGGGGGGGAGGAAATACCGGAGCCGCTGCCGGGAGGAAGACCGGGAGATCACCGGAGCCGGAGCGGGCGACACTGCACGGCACGGCTTCCAGAGCTACACGGCCTCGACTCTTCACTGCACCGCTATCCTCTCGCCCTCAACACCTATGGTGAGCCTTCCGGCCTCTCCCTGCTCGCCGCCGGACCTTACCATGTCGGCCAAGGCGCTCCACATCGTGAGCGCGTCGGCCATGGCCATCTTCGGCCACCGGGTACACACGCACGGCACACTCACGCGCACACCGCGACCACCTCCGAGCCCTTGGACGTTGTAGACCCCTCCAAGCCCCACGGACGCCAAGGCAGAGCACTCACTCACCGCGCTCGCAACGCCGCCGTCGTGGCGTGGCCACCACCGGCCAGAGCACCAGACCACCGGCTAGAGCACTAGACCACCGTGGACACCACCGGCCAGAGCACCAGACCACCGGCCAGAGCACCACCACCACCGGCCCGAGCACCAGACCACCGTGGCCAGGTCCGCTGGGAGCGCCTGGTGTCTCCTTGTCTCACCCATCTTGTTCGCTGGAGCCACGGGTAACTCACGCGCACGCCGTGACCACCCCGCTGGAGCCCCGTAGTGCACCCGTGCGCCTCGCCGTCGTCACCATGTCGCCGTGGCTGCCAGGAAACCCCTACCGGCCTCATGAGAATCCGAGCCCCGCCTTGAGCACTGGACACCCTCGCCATGCTCCCACGGAACCGCTGAAGCCTTTACTCGCCCAGCCGAGACACCAGGAAGCCGGCACAGGCGACTTCACCGTCGGTGGGCACCGCCGAACCGCCAACCACCGTGGCCAGGGTCCTAGGGAGTCCTAGCCGTCGCCTCGACACCACCATCGCAGTCGCCAAAGCCTGACGGTGCTTTTCCCCACGCCAATTGGGCGCTAGCACCGCTGCGGAAGCTCGCCGGTGAGTACGTCACCGGCGGGAGCACGCCGTGGAAGAAACAGAGGAGGAGGGGCGAGTTGAGCAGCACAGCCTTGCACCCAGTGCACAAGAGCCGAGCCGAGGGAAATAACGGTGGACTTGGTCCACCAGGGACCCTGCCTTAGGTCCATGGACCAGCACCACCTGGTCCACCGTGAGCCATGCCCATGCCCGCGAGCTGTGGACGAAGCCCAGTAGAGGCCCACGGCCGTGACGTGGCAACGCCACAGCTTGCCACATGTCCGGCCCGGCCCGGCCCAGACCGGCCCAACCCGAGGGCCGCTGGAGCCCGTTTGAGACCCAGTCCGTGTTGACCGTTAACAGGTCAACGTTGACCGTTGACCTGGCCCCACATGTCAGTGGCACAGACACTCTGGACCCACACGTCAGATGGTGACATCATGCTGACGTCAGCTGGACCCCACCTGTCAGCTCGAAATCGTGATGCTGACGTCAGCAAGCCACGTGGACCAACCCCAGCGTGACACGTGTCAGCCCAGGATTAATTCAGCCTTTTTCATTTTCAGAAATGGATTAAATCTTTGGAAATTCATAACTAATTCATATGACCTCAGAAAAATACGAAACCAGGACCAAAATTCATCTAAAATCGAGCTCTATGCAATGGACCCATGCTTGAGTGCATTTGGCTCTTTTGAATTTTCATTGCTTTTTTGTGCTATTCTATAGACGTCGCTAACACGACTATAATACGGTCGTTTGCAGACTCGGAGGAGAACCGGACGGACGAGGATCGTGAGTACCGTGAGGAGTATGGAGACGACTACACTGAAGGTGCCACAACCCATCCAATCTCGTAGCACCTATTACGCATGGCTAATATAGAAATGCTAGTGCTTACTTTATTGTCATGATCACATTATGGTAGGATTTGCATGGTAGTATGTTTTCTTGATGGCCTTTACCTTGACGCAACCTTACCCCTGCTCACCCAGCTGATAGGCTAGTCACACGCTTGCTATTACATTTCATCGCTTATTACTTCTACTACGCTTGCACTACATTGATGCGTGGTGGAAACTAGTGTTATTTGGACCATGGGGAGAGTGCTGCGTGTGTGACTTGGGTGCGTGGAGGATGAGGGTTGTGTCGACCAAGTTGGAGTATACGACGAGCCTGGGGCAAGTCTTGCCATGGGGTGCTACCTGGGCACCCCTAGAATGGATACCTGTGATGGGTAAATGGTATATGAGGTGGCCCTGGGTGTGATCCTGTGATGGGAGGAGCCTAGGGTGGAGGTGCTATGGTGACACGGTAAATGGAAACCCTGATGAAGACATTCTGGCTTGGTCATCCCTAAGGACTTACTAGTACTCAGATTCACCGGGAAGCCTTACGTACCACTCGCCCTATATGGTGCGGAACGGCCGGACTACTTGGTAGGATATTGCCACTACTGCTAGGTTGGTAGCGGACAGTGTAAGGAGGTACGGGGCGCGGAGGATTTCCCCCACACCCTTCCGAGACTTCATGGAGACCTTGTGGACCCGGCTCATGACTCACAGTTTCAGCCACCCTAGACTGGACTTGGGGTGTACCAGGGCTGAATGGTAGAGTGGCATTGTCCTAGGCTAGCAAGCGGCCGGAATCAGCCCAGTTGACGTCGGTCAGCAAGGAAGGCAGATCTTGTGGTTATGTAAAACCTCTGCAGAGTGTATGGTTGATCGATCGATACATATGCCGACTTGTCGGCTATGGACCTTTCCTAGGTTTCGCTTAAACTAGATAGAGAGATGAGTCCTTGTCTTCTCCCCCTGGAATGAGTGTTCGGACATAGCCAGGGGCTATGGGCCTTGAGACAGTGCCGAGAGGGAGTTGGCCTGTCGACTGAGCGATGGTATGGGTGTGGTATGGTGATGGTGTGGAGATGGTGGTATATCGATCCCAGGATCGAAACCTGGCTCGGGAATGGGAAATGAGGTGGAATGTTTGATAACGGTGTTAAAACTAGACTAACTATTATTAGTTACTTGATATGCTAATACATAGGAAATCCCAGCCTTATAGGTTCCTTTTGATTATATCCAACTTGCATCCAATTTCCACAAAGCAATGCTCATAGGGTTGGGAGTGGCCAGTACAAATCGTACTGATAAATTTTGGCACACAGGTTCTGCTGAGGAGTATAGCTCCGAGGAGTTTGACGGTTGAGGGGTTCGTGCCTACGCTCGAGTTTGGCGATCTTATCTTCAAGCTGTTCTGAATGAATGCTACTTTTGATTCCGCCAATGTGGCGATGTAATAATTTATGTATTCCGCACTATTTGTACTCTGATATTATCGTTGTATGGATGTGATATTTGACTGAAATTCAGGTAATATGATCCACCACGGTCTTATTACACTTTGACTCTGTGGATTTCCCTTCATGGAAATCGGGGTTGTTTCATGGCCCAACCCTCCTCCTGGCCCCGCACGTGCCTTCGGCCCAGACGGAGCACAGCAACCTGCTCGGCCTGCCTCCCCGAGCTGGCCCAGCTCGCGCGCCATCCTCTTCTCCTGACCGCATGGCCCAACTGTCAACCGGCCGGCCCAACATGGCCA